AATTAAAAAAAAAAAGATACGCCTTCATAGGGACGCCTGGGGGGCTCAGTCGGTTAAGTGTCCGACTTCAGCTCAGGTCATGATCTCACTGTTCATGAGTTCGAGCCCTGTGTCGGGCTCTGTACTGACAGCTCAGGGCCTGGAGCCTGCTTCAGATTGTGTGTGTGTGTGTGTGTGTGTGTGTGTGTGTGTGTGTCTCTGCCCCTCCCCCACTCATGCTCTGTCCTTCTCTCTCAAAAATATACAAACATTAAAAAAAATTTTTGTCTCAGTAGATCCTATCTACGAGGTAGGAGGATAAAATAAGGCTAAAACTGTAGCCAGTGAAGAAGCAGAAGTCCCTTACGTTGACAAGAATAGGGAAATTTGGGGCATTTTTGCGATTTGGACAGGGTTCATGTTTTGTCTGTGTGCCAATGTGATTATGGAGCGGTCTTGTTTTGTCTTAAGTCCTCGTGGTCCCGTGTTGTGCGACACTGATGTCCTGTGTAACTAACTGTACCAGGGAAACGCCAAGCCGTGGCTGGACTCCCAGGCCAGAGCCTGGCTTTCAGGGGCCGCCTCTGTCTTTCTTGCCCGCTGCTGACAACAGCAGAGAGGACTGATCTCTGACCTTTTGGAAAACACTCGGGTTCCACGGCACTGCCGCAGGACAGAAGAGGGAGATGTGGTTTTCTGAGCGATGATCTTTGGTGCGGTGGCCGTTTGGGAAGGTGCTGTATCTCTCCCAACCTGGCCCGACCTTCTGCCACGCCTGAGGTGGATTCTTTCCGTGAGCTCCTGGGGAAGACTCTGGGTTCCCTGCTGGTCCAGACGTGGTTATTTAAACTTTTAGATGGATTGCAGTAGAGATAAATGCAGTTTCTGACACACCAAGAATTTTTCTGCCTTTTTAAAATGCTTGTTTTCAAGGTTAATCCAAAAGGTTAAGGGCACCAAACGCCACAAAGAACGGAATCAAAATAATACACGAACAGCTTTTAAGAAGAATGTCCCACATGTTGACATGTCCACATTGGTATCTATTCAACTGATCAAAAACAAATTTCCTGGGCGCCCAGCCTGGGCGGCTTAGTCGGTTGGTTAAGTGTTCGACTCTTGATTTCGGCTCAGGTCGCAATCCCGAGGTGTGTGAGATGGAGCCCCATGCTGTCAGTGTGGAGCCTGCTTGGGATTCTCTCTCTTTCCCTCTCTCTGCCCCTTCCCTGCTCATGCTCTCTCTCTCTCTCAAAATAAATAAATTTTTATAAATTTTTTAATAGAAAGTCCCATCGATTTGTCCTTTTTTCTTTTTATTCCCATCAATTTGTCTTAATGGAACTTCAATAA